TGGGGAAAAGCCTTAACCCCATAGTTCTCCTTTAAGGATGAAAAAGCTTATGTGTCGTGCTGTTATTCAGTTTGTGTCAGCTCAGTGTCAGGCTTTAAGGTCCCCATGGAGGCTGACGCCTCTCCTGTCAGAGTTCATATAAGTTCAGATTAGTGTCCTTTTGTCCTGGTGCTGGTGGAACATCATACAAAGTTTTCTTTTATGTAATCCAGACAGCACCTTTGTGCTGATGTGAACGGGCCCTTACTGTTGTGTCTCCTGGACAGGAAGTATAGGAAAAATTCCCTAATGGGACATACACAGTAAAAAATGGTTTTTGAGTGTCTGCACTTTGCTAAGATAACCTGACACTTTTACCCTGAAAGAGCAGAGGAGAAAATACAAGTAAATAATAAAAAATCAGTAGCCTTAAGAAATATGATTACACTGCTATAACAATTTAAGGGCTAAAATCCAGATTTTTTTTCGCAGATGTACATTGGTGATTGGTTCTCTTTATGCATTAAGAAAAAATGAAACTTATTGTTTAATGCTATGATGGACTGTTCTAAATGGATTTTTAGGTGGTTCCTGTATATCCCAGCCTGGCTAGGGCTGGCAGACATTGTGTGGTAATACAGGCACACTGGTGGGGACACATTTATATTCATTTAATCACCTACCTGAAACTTTTTACCGTAGAACGTATTCTGTGTATTTACATCACACCCTCCTGGTTATCAGCCAAGAGATGGTACAGCATTGGAGTTTTATATACTGCCATGAAATCTTGGCAGGCAGCATTGCTACGCAGGAGAACATTATAGTACAGTAATTCACCTGTTCCTGTCAAAAGTGTAACATGTTGAGTGTTCAGTGTACTGGCTTGGGGCCATCTGTGAAATCAGGAAAAGAGGATGTCCTGTGCATCTAGGAAGTCACAATGGCAGAAGGTTATCTTATAAAAGTTAGTCTTCGTTCCGTTTTGTTTTTTGTCATTTTGATGCTGTTTTTAATGCTACCCAAGAAAATCCTCCTATAGTTTTTACATTTGTAGTCTGGCCTAACATATTATCCATCTCTTATTTTTGGAAAGACAGAACATTAATGTCATAGTACTTTAGTGGATGTATCGTTTCAATTGCATTGGGAAATATCAGAAAAAAACAAATATATTCCTGTAAACATGTCCAACACAATTTTTAGGTAAGGAAAGGAGCCTCAGATGTTTATCCCAAAATAAATTCAGCAAAGTCTGAATATCACAACAGTACAAATTTTATATAAAGTGAGTGAGTGCAGACTCTAAATGTTAAACTCAGCCTAGGCAAGCTAGACTAGTAAAGACACATGTGGATAGATAGAATCCTTTTGTGTATATTTTTAGATTACAATTTAAGTGTATCTAAAGTCCAAAGTTATATTTCATTTTGAATAGGGAAGGGTTCAAATCTGTTTGGTTTGTATTGCTGTCTGGGTCTCCTTTGGGGAGATTCTTCCCTTTTGTAACTGATGTGACCAGGATAGAAAGTGATGGTAAATCCAAAATGTTTCAGTTGTCACCAGAATCGGTGAAGAGGGGAAAATCACACAATAGTGACAGTTGTACTGGACCGGATTTTTCTTACTTTGATGAGATTTCTTCTCACTCAGGGCCCATTCACACCATGCCCGTGCATTAATCGTATTACCATGCAATTAACACACGGGCTTGGTGTGAACGGGCCCTTACTGTTGTGTCTCCTGGACAGGAAGTATAGGAAAATTTCCCTAATGGGACATATACGTTAAAAATTGAAAGAAAACAAATTGTTGCTTTTAGATGAAGTCGGGTTTGTGTAGACAGGAATTAGTATGACACCAGCACTGCCCTACTGATCTCAGCTCCCTCTGATCTGTGGGAGCTGAGAAGAATCTATAAATTAGACATGTGCACTGGCATAAAGTTGGTTTCGTTTCGTTTTCATTCGGATTTTCCGTTATTTCATTTTTCGGGATTCGGGTCCGAAAGTTACAAGTTTAAATCGTTTTGGGATTCGGATTCAGAAAAATTTGTTAGCGGTAGTGCGGTCGAAATTTCGTGTTTTTTTTTAACAGTCTACAGAAGGGGTGGGGGAAGCGTGGGGTTCCCCCCAAAATCCATACCAGGCTCTTTTGGTCTGGTAGGAATTTTAAGGAGGAATCCCATCCCCAAAAAATGGGGAAGAAAAATTCCTACCAGGCCCTTGATCCAAGCACAGGGCCAATCAGAAAGCCGGGGCGACACGTCATGGCCCCCTGCCCGGTTTCCTGATTTGTAATAATGTAAAAGTTTGTTTTTTCTTTTTAAAATGTCCTTTGATCCTTGGTCAGCAGGCTTAGAAGGATCAAAAATGGTCTCAATAAGTTAGCAGTAATCTACATGAATTTTTGTTTGTGGACGAAGTTTCGTTGCAGCAAAGTGACATTAGAGAGGAAACATTTTTTTTAATGTCACTTTGCTGCAACGAAACGAAAACAAAGCGACAACTAAACCAACATTCGTAAAGACTACCACTAACGAATTTCGTCCGAATCCCGAAATGAATTGACTTTCGGGCCCGAATCCCGAAAAACTAAATAATGCAAAATACGAATCAAAACGAAACCAATTTTTTGGTGGTGCACATGTCTACTGAGCAGCAAGAGGAGTTGATTTATAAACGGTAATTAAGATGTTCACTTGCAAGGGGATTTTCCCATAGCTTAGTGAATTACTTCCATCATCCAATTATGTGCAAGCAAAAATACTGTTTTCTTTTCTTTGTGCGATTGGGTTCCACAGTGAGCTTTTACCACCATTACTAAACTTTTTCACTAAAGGGAAAATGTCATTGCAAAGTGAAAAATCCATTGCAAACAGAAGCTGACAAATCGTACAGGAGGAGATTATGGTCAGTTAGGAACAGAAGCTAAATAGGGGCAGGATGACAGCGACTCTGTGCGTGGCAGAGCGGGGGATCGATAAATATCATTGATATTTACCGATCCTCCGTGTGAGAAGGACAAACACTGGAGCGATCGTCTGATCACTCCAGTGTTTGTAAATAACTGGGGGCACATAGTACTATGTGTCCCCAGTTATGAATGAACAGGCGGTGATTTACATCGCAGCCTGTTCATTCAAGATTTCACCAATGGGGAGAAGCACTCAGTACAGAGGCTCCTCCCCATTCAGAAACAGCTTATAAATACTGTACTATCAGTGTCTGAATGAATGGGGAGGAGCCTCTGTACTGAGTGCTTCCCATTCCCTGACTGCTTAGGCTGCTGATAAAGAAATTGAGGATTTGGTGTCCTCAATTGCTTTTCTATTTTAAAAGGGAAATGTCAGGGGTCTGTTTGGACCCCTAATATTTCCCCGAAGCCCCCCCCCTCCCCCCCAACAGTACAAAATAAATACATAATAAAAAAATTATGAAAAAAATAATAAAAAATGTAAAACATTTTTTAAAAAGTGGAAACTGCCCCCCACCCCGCCCCCACACATATTATTAGACAAGTGCGAAGACTAAAAATTTATTTCAGATTAAATGAACGAAAACTAAAAAAGCTTTCATTCGTTTCATCAAACAAAACACATTTTGATGCTATTTTGGATTCAGCCATTGGCGTGTTCTGGAGGCAGGGCGCATGATGTCATATAACACTGCACGTGTTGGGCGCCGCCATCTTGGTGTATATCTAGGTATAGACCAAGATGGTGGGGCCAATATCGATGTGTGACGTCACCTGACGCCATGCATGCATGGTGTCATGTAACGTCATGCACCCTGCCTCCAAGATGGTGGCACGCATTCACAGAACACACCGGTGGCCAACATGGCCGCCGCACATTCTCAAACAAATTATTATGTCCCTGAGTAAATTTTTCGTATATTCGGACATATAGTAATTCATTAATTTACACGTAGTCTAGGTTTTGTGTTCTGTTTTCTATTTTTACTTTTCTAGATGCACTTGAAAAAAGGGGTCTGCATGACATCCTGACACTTTATTTATATAGACTCTATTTTAGTTTGACATTTATTGTTTGCCTTCTGTTGTTTTATTTGATAAGAATACTTATATTGTGCCTACAAGTTTAATACCTTTGAATAAAAGTTTTAATTTTATCATACTTTTTAATGTTTCTTTGCGAAATATAGGAGTCTTTAAATGGTGCGGATATTGGGGGAAATGGGTGTGGCCACTAAAGGGTGTGGTCACTGAGGGGCGCTGTAAAGCTTTCTCACACAGGGCGCCTAAAGGCCTAAGGCCGGCCCTGGGAACAGGTAAATTTTTAAGTTTAACTCCAGACAAAAAAAATGTTTTGCTTTGGATAGCATAGGGAAGGGTTAACCCACTGTAAAGTTTTGTGTTGCTGTGTGTGCCCCTGTTCATAAGATTTCACCTCACTTTCTGTCCCTGTGACAATTGGATTTTGAAAATGTTGTGTTTAGCTTCAGTGGAAACCCCTTTTTCCCATGATAACTCTTACAGGAGTTAATTTCCCTTCCTAGGGGTAGATTCCCTCTCACTTCCTGTTGTCTCAAGGACAGGAAGTGAGATTAAATATTTCAATACAGACTGCAGTAAAAACCTCACAGTGACCCGGAAGAAGAGCTGTGCACCCCTCGTCTGCACGTCTAACAAGAGCTAACTTCCTGTAATGCACGTACAGCACTACGAACCAGACCCAAAAAGACGGGCACTCCTCGTCGTTACGAGCGCGGTAGCATTACACCTACCCCTGCTGTACAGTAATAGCCTCCGCTTGTAGGTAGGAGTCGTATGTAAGTCAGATGTATGTAACTCTGGGACTGCCTGTAGTCATGTTATTTATTTTTGTTAAGGGTTGTGTTATTTGTGTTGAAAAGTCTCTGGTTTTTTTTATTTGCAATTCTACCCTATGTACAGTAAATGGATCATTTTGTTTTACAATGTTTTGAATGCAGACGAAACTTAAGCGTTGCGATACAAGAAAGATGCTAAAGATCGATACAGATTGCATGGCATGTGCAGTAGCAACCAAATATGTGTGCCCTAAAGGATCATCAAAAATAACATCTGGAACAGGGAAAGCTGGGTGCAGGTAAGTTACTTGGTACAAGTACAGGACCTAATCCTGTTATTTTGTTATTCTGTCATATCCACTTCATAGCTTAAAGCCTGTATCGTCTACTATATTAGTTTTCTATAAAACAGGAAAACATTGGGGAACATTTAGCAATTCTGTTGCATAGCAAAGCTAAATAGGGGCAGTGAGACTATATGAGATTTATTACTGCTTGAGTCATATATTTCATACTAGGCTGCTCATGCTCAGTATCCTTGTGACAGAATAAAACCGGACCCCGACCACTTCTTAATTATGCGTCTGTTTAGAGTGAAAATCTGTACCATCTTCAGTAGTAAATCTGTCTGAAAACTTTACAGATTGTCATACTTAGCTGCCCAGGAATTCAGATGCACAGGACTGTTAACCTGTTGCAGAGACTGCCCAAGTCTGAGTCTGACTAATTATGTTGCTAATTTGTATGGTCCATGGTGTTTAATGGTTTTTGATGTTTATCTCTGTTGTATTTTTTGGCATATACAGTATATACACTGGCCAGATTATTATGACCACCCCATCAGTACTTTGTTGGGCCACAAGACTGTGTGTATGTGTGTATATATACCTCGGTTCACGAACGCCTCTGTTCACAAACAATTCGGTTCGCGACCATAAAGTTTTTCAAAATTTTGCCTCCACTCACGAACTCTGCCTCGGGTGACGAACACGACCGCGGCCATCTTCCACCGCTCTGACACATGGTTGTGGCTCCCTGTACTCGAGATTGCGGTCGCAGACAAGGCTGTGGACACTTACTGTGGAGCTTTTTTGTGTGCTTTGTAGCACAGTACTGTACAGTATTACTGTATTCAATCCAGTATAGCTCCCAAGAAAGTGCAGAGCAAGCATGGTGGGAAAAAGAAAGCGCAGAGCATTAATGAAGGTGACAAGAATGTGCAGCGCATTAATGAAGGTGACAAGAATTTGCAGAGCGTTATTGAAGGTGACAAGAATGTGCAGAGCGTTATTGAAGGTAACAAGAATGTGCAGAGCGTTATTGAAGGTGACAAGAATGTGCAGAGCGTTATTGAAGGTGACAAGGATGTGCAGAGCGTTATTGAAGGTGACAAGGATGTGCAGAGCGTGTATGATCCATGTTTTGTTTGTTTTGGGTAGGGAAGAGAGAAAACTCTTGTCAGGTTATTGTTTGTTTTCTGTGTCCCGTTAGGGGGATCCTCGCTTCGATGGCAATCGCCTCACCTTTCTCCGGCTATGGAATGACTCTTGGCGTTCTCACGTCTAATGCAGGTCAATGGACCTGCATAACACGTGATGACATCCGTAGTCCTTAGACCGCCAGAGGACAAGAGGCTGCTGGGACCGGTCTAGCAGCCAGCGGGATTGAGGATCAGATAAGTAAAACAGCTTTATCTGAATCCCCTAGACAAAACGAGTATTTAATCCTTGCAGTGCAGGTGTAGCCCCACTGCAAAGGTAATTTTTGTCATTGCCCGGAGTTTTTCTTTAACAGGTGGGTTACAACCCTACCTCTATTGAGAATTTAAAAAACAAAGTTTGGGCTATACACTTTCACCCCATAATGATACAGTACAACAATCATAATATAAACCTCAACAGTGTGAGCACAAATCTTTACCACCATATACATGTATCTTGTGCTCTAAACAAATAAAACATAACACCAACTCCAGCCAAAATTATTTTTCCATTTGGCCAGTGCAGTAAAGGAATATAACCAATGCCAGGTTTTTATTTTCCTAATGACCTGCTCCAACGATAACTTGTCCAACCCAGAACCCTTCCTCTGCTTTATTAGAAATAGGGGTTATATTGCTGTTTATGTCACTATTAGGTAGAACTTCCCCAAAACACTCACTCTCTCTCCCTTCTCTTTTCCTTCTGTAATCTTCCTCTTCTCTTCTCTCTATCCTCTCTCTCTCTTCTCTCTCTCCTCTCTCTCTCCTCTCTCTCTCCTCTCTCTCTCCTCTAGCTCGGTAGAGCGTCTT